GTGGTCCCCCAGTGTCCAGGGTGGTCCCCAGTGTCCAGAGTGGTCCCCAGTGTCCAGGGTGATCCAAAGTGTCCAGGGTGGTCCCCAGTGTCCAGGGTGGTCCCCCAGTGTCCAGAGTGATCCCCAGTGTCCAGAGTGGTCCCCAGTGTCCAGGGTGATCCAAAGTGTCCAGAGTGGTCCCCCAGTGTCCAGGGTGGTCCCCCAGTGTCCAGGGTGGTCCCCCAGTGTCCAGGGTGATCCAAAGTGTCCAGGGTGGTCCCCCAGTGTCCAGGGTGGTCCCCAGTGTCCAGGATGGTCCCCAGTGTCCAGAGTGGTCCCCAGTGTCCAGGGTGATCCAAAGTGTCCAGGATGGTCCCCAGTGTCCAGGGTGATCCCCCAGTGTCCAGGGTGATCCCCCAGTGTCCAGGGTGATCCAAAGTGTCCAGGGTGATCCCCCAGTGTCCAGGGTGGTCCCCCAGTGTCCAGGGTGGTCCCCCAGTGTCCTGGGTGGTCCCCAGTGTCCAGGGTGGTCCCCCAGTGTCCAGGGGGATCCCCAGTGTCCAGGGTGGTCCCCAGTGTCCAGGGGGATCCCCAGTGTCCAGGGTGATCCAAAGTGTCCAGGGGGATCCCCAGTGTCCAGGGTGATCCCCCAGTGTCCAGGGTGGTCCCCAGTGTCCAGGGTGATCCCCCAGTGTCCAGGGTGGTCCCCCAGTGTCCAGGGTGGTCCCCAGTGTCCAGAGTGATCCCCCAGTGTCCAGAGTGGTCCCCAGTGTCCAGAGTGGTCCCCCAGTGTCCAGGGTGATCCCCCAGTGTCCAGGGTGATCCAAAGTGTCCAGGGTGATCCCCAGTGTCCAGGGTGGTCCCCCAGGGTTCCAGAGTGGTCCCCAGTGTCCAGGGTGATCCCCAGTGTCCAGGGTGGTCCCCAGTGTCCAGAGTGGTCCCCAGTGTCCAGGGTGATCCAAAATGTCCAGGGTGATCCAAAGTGTCCAGGGTGGTCCCCAGTGTCCAGGGTGATCCCCAGTGTCCAGGGTGGTCCCCCAGTGTCCAGGGTGATCCAAAGTGTCCAGGGTGGTCCCCAGTGTCCAGGGTGGTCCCAGTGTCCAGGGTGATCCAAAGTGTCCAGGGTGATCCCCCAGTGTCCAGGGTGATCCAAAGTGTCCAGGGTGGTCCCCAGTGTCCAGAGTGGTCCCCAGTGTCCAGGGTGATCCAAAGTGTCCAGGATGGTCCCCAGTGTCCAGGGTGGTCCCCCAGTGTCCAGGGTGGTCCCCCAGTGTCCAGGGTGATCCCCCAGTGTCCAGGGTGGTCCCCCAGTGTCCAGGGTGGTCCCCAGTGTCCAGAGTGGTCCCCAGTGTCCAGGGTGACTCCCAGCACAAGGGGCATGGTTGAATCCCTGTGCTTGAGGCACAAAAGCCCTGAAATCCTGGTTTTCTGGAGGATTTTCCACTCTGGAGATGGAGTGTCTCTCTCTAGGTGGCAGCATTGGTAAAGAGTCTCTGGGCCGCCTCCATCCGAGGCAGGGTCTTGCCACACCTCACCCTGTTGGGACTTCATCAATAATCCTGGGATTCAGCCCCAGTTCCTGTGTTTCTGCAGCCTTGGTGAGTGCACAGGCTGCCCAGCTGGCCCCTAAGGATGGGCTCCCACTCAGAAATATTGGCACAAACCACAGGTTGGGCACTACCTAAAACAGTTCAGGAAAACACTGCAAGTGCTGCTATTGATGGGGTAATTCCATGTGATAAATCCAAAATCTGATCCCCAGATCTTCAGCATGTAGAGTTTTGGGCAAAATTTCCAGGTACCACTGAAAATAATGTGTTCTTTGTCATGTTCCCATCACAGCACTGACAGCTGTGCCCAGGCTCAGGTGGAGAAAGTGGCAGCAGATGAACTAAAACAATTATTAAATGAAATCAAATCCCATTTGTTCCCTCAGTTTTCAGACACTGGCCAGGGATGTGGGACCAGAAGAACTTTTCTCATCCCTTCCCTTGGTATCCCCTCACATTTACCCCTGTGGAGGCTCTGGGAAGATCCCAGAAATGCTGAACTGGGAGCAGAAAAGAGCAGGGCCAGGCTGGGGCCAAAGAGGTGAAGGACCAGGTGAGGGAGGGATGGCAAGGATGGGACAGGATCAGGATGCAGTGCTGGGGTGGAATATAGGCAGAGCAGAAGGGATAAAACACAGAAGGATTTGGTTTTAGTGCCTTTATTTTCCCAGGCTGTGATTATGAGCCAGAATCCACAGGGATAAGAGCCCTATTCCCCATTTTGGGAAAAGGCTTCACAGGTCAGTGCTGCCCCCAGCACCCCAGTGCCCCTCAGCTCTGAACTCCCCCTCTCCTGTGGGCCCAATGCTCAGCTCCACACCTACAGCTTGATTGCAGGCAACAAATGAAGTTTTAATTAGCATGAGGAATCCTGGTGAGGAGCAGCAGCCCAGGTTTGAAATGCATCCAGGCCCCTCGTGTGAGAGCAGCCAAGGGCACAGCTGCTGGGATGGATCTGAGAGATGATGGGGATCCGATGCTCCAGGGCTGCTCTGAGATTTAAAGAAGATTCCATCTGGTGGAATCACCCAGGTGGATGATTCCTGGGGGTGCTCACCTGGAGAGGAGAAGGATCCAGGGAGAGCTCAGAGCC